ATTATAAATATACACCAGTACGAGCTGTATCTATCTACTCTTACTACATTTTCCTCACTCCATACATAAAAATGCTCCTAACTTAATACATATTAGTCCTAAAATTGTTAATGACTCATTAAAAATGTGTCGTGAAAAAATGCTAAAAATGGGCAATTTTAAAAATGTTTCAAAATTGTAAAAACAAAATTTTTTTTTCTTAATAAAAATTAATATGATTTTAATGTAGTCTAAGAATACATAAAATTATAAAAAAAAAATTATAACGAAATGTTAATGTATCAAATTTATAAGTTTCAGTTAGATCTGTCTNAATTATAACGAAATTTTAATGTATCAAATTTATAAGTTTCAGTTAGATCTGTCTATTCGTTATACTAATTTAAAAATATATTACCTCGTAATAATTCACAGAAGAATATTTTTAACAATATTTTGGTTAATGAGAAAATTCTCTCGGAAATATTTTTTTGTTATATCACTATATGGTCTCGTGGCGTTTGCCATCTTGACTCGCCTCATAATTCAAGCCCAGTGGTGGATCTTGGATATTTTGACAAGAGAGACTATTAGTGTAGATTGCATGGGGACTATGAAGTGGTACAAGAGCTACCGCTGCTTCACTTTAAGTCCTGATATACATTTGAATTATAATAAATAATATACCTTATCATTTTTTAACTATAAGGGTTAGAAAAAAATTGTAACCATTAATTTATCAGTTAAATGTGCATAGTGTTCTTAATACTATTATCCTTTTTTTAGTGTACTTGTCATTTAATAGTTATGGAATAAACTTATATCTACATCACTAAACACATTTTAGCCATTTAAATTTTTATTTTAGTTCATTGATTCGAAATCAATTTTATTTATTAATGTATAACTGTATTATAAGCTAAAAAATCATTTATAGAAATATCTATTTTTCAAATTATTTAAATTTTGAAAACATTTTTTTTTTTTAGTTTTATTGTATATATCATTTGGTATATTTTAGTTTTAGTAGCACTTGTTAACTTCAAAACTACGGTAGTGTATATAAAAAAAAAACGAAAATAATGATAGATACAAAATAGTATACTGAAAGTCTGAAAGGTAAGCAAATATATTTTTACAATAATTTATTGAATGATAACTTTCTAAAAAAAATTGATAAGACAAAACAGATAGGGGGCCGTGTGCCTCTATTACCGCCCCTAAATCCGCTTTTGATTGGTAATTAATGAAATTAATCAAATAATAGTATTTTAAATTGAAATGTTAACCCGCCAATTTTAGCTTCGATGCGAAGCTGAGAAGGTATTAATTTTACTATGATGTGTTTTTTTTTTTATTTTTTTTTTTATTTTTTTTTTTGTGTCTGTGAACGCTCAATCTCAGCTCTCGCTGGACCGATTTTGATGAACAATATGTCAAAAG